GTTCCCTCTATAAGTATTTTGAAGTGTATTTATACTTCAATATTAGTTCCATTTTATTGAAGTATGCTAAATGTACACTAGGAGGCAGTCTGGTTCTACTTTCTAATAAGAATTTGGCATAGGATAACAACATCTGTTCAAATTATTTTTTTATGAGCAAAGATTTCAAGGAATTATAGAATGTTTGATAAGAAATATTTCATTCTGGAGTCCATTTGAATGATTATCACATTAAAAGATTTTAATGTTCTTAAGGTCTTTATTTCATATTTTTTAAAAGAATGAATTGTTGTGGCAGAAGGTCAGTTAGTTTACTTCTGATTCAAACACTTGTTGGGAGCAGAACGTCTGGCCAGCAGGCTAGTTAGCTGACCAGGACTTGGGTTTATGCCTTTGGGAGGATCCGTTTCAGAATGCAACCTCCTGTTATCAGTACGGTCTTGGATTGTAATTGGTAAAAGACGGTGTATTTAAATCGTTAGCTATTGAGTACTTCAGGTTGGTAGATACTTCCTTTTTTTTCCCCTAAGTGCATAGAAGTTGGTTCATTCTCATCTCATACTAGTGTGGAGCTGGCCTTCCCCGTGTGCCCGCGACCCACTCTGTCTGTACTCTGGTTTGAGAGTTTTCTCAGAACATTATTTCATGTGACACAAATGGCACACGTCCTACAAGGAGAGTCTAGTGTTTATTAGCCTCAGCATTCTGTCTTTGAGGAGCTCTAGTGGGGTAGTGGTTATATATTTGGCTGCTGTCAGAGGTTGAAACCCACCGGCTGCTCTGAGGGAGAGAGACGAGGCAGCTGTCTCCGCACAGATGGCAGCCTGGAAGCCCCTTGGTGGAGCAGCTCTGCTCTGCCCTGTCGGCTCACTGCGAGTCGAACCCACTCGGCAGCCGTGCATTTGCATGTGTCTTCTTTTGTTCTGCGAGGCCAGGTGCTGGGTTCTTTAAAACATATGCTTATTTCTGTGCAGCTAAAATAGTTTGTAAATTTATGTCACATTTATTTACTTACTGTGCATGTATTTATATGCCCTTTTCCCCTTCCCTTATTAACTTATAATCTCTTCACATCCTCCAGCTTTCCTTTCTTTGAGTTTTGTGGTTGTGTTTTGTAATAGGGAACATTCTTTTAAAATGTTAACATTGTAGTTTAAGTAAATACAACTAAAACGTTTTAAGAACATGAAACCCCAGTGCTATGGTACCTACTAATGTAGTTCGCTTGATAGCGCAGAGGTCTGCAGGGGGTCTAATGACCAACTTACCCAGAAAAGCTGCTGAGCAGGCTTGTGGTCAGCCTAGACTTGGAGTTTCAAACGATTTTAAAGAGTGGTCTCTAAAGCAGCGTTTGGTGTCTGTCGAACTGTTGATCATGAATTGGGAGAGCGGTTGCAGAGTAGATCAGCTTTCCGTTCAACAGTTCAGAGGCAGAATTGCAGTTCCCACTGAAGACATGGCCTGGGGGCCACGTCTGGCTTCCTCCAGTTATGGGAGAAAGGAGGAGAATTCAACTCCTTGCAGCCCCAGGGGATGATTCCTGTGATGCAGCGGCCAGATGTGCCTCTACGCTCTGTCCTTGCTTGCCGTATTCTGACACCAGCCTTCCTTCCCACAGTACTCCATTTCTCTGCTTCATTCAATCATCGGTTGCCTTGACCACACAGGACCCACTGACAGTGCTGAAGACTATGGCATTTATTAGAGAAACTTAACTGGTTGCAAAATGTTAAAGATGCATTTCTTTTGCCTGTGGTACCACTTCTCAGCCATGCTAGTAGGCCTGTCTCTGGTCGTTGGCCTCTCAGACACATTTTCCCTTGGTCTCTGCCTTGCTGGGGCAGGTTAAAAGCTTCATTAAAAAATCTCACTTCTATCAAGTCAGTTCTGACTCATGGTACATCTATGGGACAGTGTAGAACTCCTTTGAGTTTATGAGGCTATAAATCTGTACAAGAATAGAAAGCCTCATCTTTCATCGATATATAGACAGAGGTGGTTACGAACTGCTGTTCTTGTGGTTACCAGCCCAACACGTGTCTGATTACACCAGCAGGGTTCCTTCAGAACTGCTTTAGTGCTGATAAATGCCCAATGGGCACACCACTCTGCAGGATACCCTCCTGCCAAAGGTACCAAGCTTGACCCATTCTGTGGGCCACAAAGCCTGTTGATGCTGCTGCTTTGCTGCTTCTCCATGGAGGGTTCTTGGTCACATTTCACTCCCGATTCTTTCTGTTCCTGCTTCTGCAATGACTCACACAGTGGCCCCACTGACTGATTAGTTTCTGCCCCTGGGCTGCCTGCTCTCACCTAGTTGTTTGGTGGGAGTTACCACGACTGGACAGAAGAGCCTAACCACAACCACGTCATTGGTTTCACTACACCCAAAGAGCATCACATGTCCTGTTTCTTCCCTTTGCTTCCTGTGTGCATTCCTCCTTCCTGATCCTTCTGGAGTTTGTCCTTGGGTAAATGCTGCCCCTTTGATCTCAGAGTTGACTATTCTAAGATGTTCATATCTCACGAGTGTTTGCAGTCCCCTTATAGACCTACTGTTTGGCTGAGAATGAAGCCATGGGGTGAGTTCTTTTCTAGACCTGAAGGGTGACCACAGGCCATCGTCTTGAGAGTTAACCTGTGTCTGTTGGACCGGCAGCCTGGCCTCTTTTCTGATGTTGAGTTCTGATCCACATTTTCCTCCCACTCTACCCAGGATGTTCTAAAGCCCTTTTCAGAGCCCTTGGTAGGGGTAGCTGGGTCCCATCTAGCTTCTCTCGCCTGAGGTTCATGGAAACTGGTGTCTGCATGATCCATTGGTCTGTTGGATGGATTGTTTCCATGCATCTTTAGTTTCCTTCTAACTAACTCAGTGTTTTCAATAGAAACTTCTGTAATCATGGAAATGTTCTATGTCTGTACTGGCCACACGTAACTAGTATTACTTGAAAAGCAGATTACAGGAATGAAGAATTGAATTTTTCCTTTTATTTAACTTTAACAGTATAAACCTAAATTTAAATAAATCTCCAAAAAATAGTGTTTTAGACAATAGATGGAAAAGATATGCTATACGCCATTAGCTTTTGTAGGTCGTAAAATGTTGTATGCTCTAAAACAGGGATCCTCAAATTTTTTGAACAGGGGCCAGTTCACTGTCCTTCAGACCAATTGGAGGGCCAGACTATAGTAAAAAAAAAAAAAA